GTGCTGCCTATCCTAACCCATTTAAAAACACTCATATCAAGTGAGTTATGGGAGCGAAAGAAAGGGGGAGCCAACGACCGTTTAACTTGTGAAAAAACGGGAGCTGACTTTCATTTTCTCTCCTGCTTTTTTATCCATGTGAAGGCGAGGTGCGTCATCTGATTTTTATTATCGATTTTTCCCATCGTTATTTTGTTTTCTATGTCTGGGTTAGAAATCCCGTCATACCCGGGGAGGGGAAGTCATTTCTATATCCCTACAAACCCTGTCTCAAAGGCTTTCATGGACCTTACTGATTTTGCTCCCTTCCTTCTGAACAGCGGAGACCATCGAGGGACTCCCGAATCACCCGGAAGGGTCGTAACTGTAATCGAACAATCATTTTGGGAAACACTATCAGACACAGTTAGTATCTTTAAAAGAAATCAAAAAAGAGAAATCGATGCCCCCTTCATCCATCCTCCCCAACCTTACCTCACCCAGCAAATTACCTAGGTAGGTTCCTATACAATCCCTAACCAACATGTCATCATAGCAAAATGATCTCCAACAATCTACCTCCAACCTCTCCGTCGTCTGGGGAGCAGCTTACCATATCCCCGCCTCACACGCCAGAGAGGTTCACGCCTACCTCGACGAAAGGGAAATAGATGGGTACACTGTTCACTTCACCCTTTTCCACCCGTCACCAAAATCACCAACCACCACCGGAACTACCAACAACAATCACCCACCAACCTCCCCTATAACCTGCATGGTCTACATCGGCCTCCCCACCAACGCGCAATTCCTCCGTAACCCGGCAGACCGTGACCCAGCCTCCGTCGCGCGTGTCATAAGCCAGAGCCGCGGGTTAAGCGGTGAGAATCGCGATTATTTGTATTTGCTGGAGAAGGCGTTGGAGGGGCCGGAGTTTGAGTGGAATAGAGGTGAAGGGGGGATGGGGGTTGCTGATGGACATGTGGCGGATTTGGCAAGGAGAGTTAGGGCTATTGAGGGGGAGAAAGTAAGTGAGGCGGATCGGCAGAGGAGCGAAGCTGTGTTGGAGCATTTGCCTGGGCCGCAGATGGAAACGGAGGAGAAGGCGGTTCGGATGGAGGAGTTTGAAGGGGGCCAATTAGGAGGGTGAGGGGAGGGGTGAGGAAGGTGAATGCTGATGCTTACCTGTCTGCATAGATAGTTTTTATAGAATACGTATCTAGATTTGGATCATGTGTTTGTTACTTAGAGAGTTGTGTGCATGGGAGAAGTTCAAGGAATGGCCACATATATTTCTAATATCTTTAATGCTCCGTTCATATACTCTCTGCGCGTTTGTAGCAATATTTCTCCATATCCTCTCGGGTTACTGTTTTTACGTAGAATACTTCTAAATACTTCCTGCTTCCCCTTCCACAACGCTTACATGTACATGATATATGACTGATATTATCCACTTCATTTTGCCAGCCTGTTGAACTCACTGCTCCATCAAAATAAGTAAAATCTAACATGGGTAAAGGAGCGGTGAATCATATGTCAACAGAAAGCGTGGGACCAAAACGAGACCTTAAACAGAACACAATTTGTTTTCTACCCACTCAATTTGTTTAATTGATTAAATTTCCTCAGTTCTGATTTCGTTTATTGTCTTGTACAAAAGAAAAGCTGGGGAAAGTGACACGGAGAAAAGCAAAACAGAGCAAAACGGAGCAAAACAGATATCGGCCACTAGAAGAAAGCAAAAAGCAGTTCTTTCATGCCCAAATGGGTAAAGATTGTCATTCTAGTGCAGAAGAGCAGGACGTGGCATGCGCTGGGCAGAGCTTTATTGGGATTAAGGGTTTTGGAGGGATGTGTGAGAGAGGGAAGAACAGCCTGGGAAACAAATTAGCTAACTTGATAGATTGTTTTGGGGAAGGGGGTTATAGGAGTTGGAGGGTGGGAAATCATGGAAACACACGAGACAGCAATAGAGGCGGGAAAGACAAAAATGGAATATAAATTAAAACTGTAGAAGAAAAAATGAAGTCCACCACCAGAGACCGACTTTTTGTTTGCTACTAGTTTTTGGAAAAAGCACAAGCCAGGAGCTGCAAATAACACTGGGGGTACTTAGATAAAAAAAAAAAAAAAAAAGGCCACAAAACGAAACAGACTTGGAAGCTATGTGGAAGGCAGAAACCACGTATCGCTGGAGAAGGGGTACAAGAAAAGTGGTGAGAGAAAGAAAGATTGACGCCAATTACATGGGTGTATGCTCGAGCTTATAAGAGAGCCTGAAGAAATAATTAAAATAGAAGAAGGTTAACATCGAAGGGGTACAAATGATCCATAGTATCCCAATTTTTCTTTTAATCGTATTAATCGTGGCTCGTTGGCTGTTGCCTCGTTTTCTCATACTCCTTTTATCGTAACCTTAAAAAAAACTGATGAGCAGGGATTGAGGTCCATGAGATGTACTTCGGGATATAAAAACGGTTGACAAATCGCTATCTCTGAACGTGGGCGTTTAATAAATGTGTGTCTATGCCCCAGATCCACCCAGGCCGTGGTTGGAATACTGTTGCCGTTGGTGGCCACCCCAGCCTACAAAGGGATACAGTTAGCAACGAGGAATTGAGTAGGAAAATCATGGAAGAGAAACTTTGCAATCGAGGTGAGCAGCTTACCACCGCCTCCATGGCGATCGTTGTATCCTCCGCCACCTATATGGGCTCGCGTCAGAAATACAGCAAAATATTATACGCAAAACGAACAAGAGTGATATATGTGTACCATAACCGCTGCCACTGCGATATCCACCACCACCATTGCTGTCGAAGCGGTGATATCCTCCGCCGCCACGTCCATGGTAACCACCACCATCATTGCGGTGAGCGGAAGCACGGTCAGAAGCTTTATCGACCCGGATGACACGGCCATCGAACCTGGTCGGGTCAATCTCAATGATGTTCATTCGGTAACGGACAAAGTAAACACCAGGACTAATTTCCCAGCGCTTCCAGAATGGCTCCAACGTACTCCTGGTTGCTCATTGCGTTCATCGCGGCGTCTGCTTCAGCGTCGCGGGAAAACCGGACGAAGCCGAAACCACGACTGCGGTTTGTGTCGCGGTCCTTGACAACGATCTGCAAAGGGCAATTAGAGATAGGAAACCGCCAGGAGAAGCGATTAGAAATGTAAATCGGAGAAGGCATCTTGTACTAAGGGAACACTAACAGCTTCTTCAATGGTGCCGTACTTCTCGAAACCCTGACGCAAGGTCTGGTCGGTAGTATGCCATGCAAGGCCGCTACACATCCCAAGTATGACATTTGTCAGTTACATTCAGGCTAGATTAAAAGTAACAATAGAAAATGGATTAACGGACCCAACAAATAGCTTCGACATTCTGGCGTTTTAGAGCAAATGCTGGAGCCTGTTACTTAGTGTCAGGAGGCTTGGTATTGGCTCGGATCTAATGAGGGCAAGAAAACAGTTAGGGTCATCTGATTAATGTCAATGTGAAAGTCATTGAACCAACTTAAGAGAAACAAGCAAGTAAGCGATGAGGGAGCATTAGTGGACATGACCAAGGGCACTTTAGTAGGATATGTGTTGGATTCGCGTTAGCATCTCCAAGATCGATGCCTGGGTAACAATGGGAATGGCGGAAGTCTCCAAGCAAGACAATTGCCATCAATGAGTTGATTCACTGGCAGATGTGACCCATGCAGCATAGCGCAATTACAAATGGCAATGCCAATGATGTCAACTAGCACAAGAAACAGGGATAAGAGTTAAACAGACATGAGATAATGCAGTTATTGGGGAGATAAAAAGAGAGTATTACAAAAGACATACGGGTGACAGAATATTGATAGGAGGAAAGAGACATAGTGAGAATGGGATCAACAACCATAAAGAAGAGAAGGGTAGCAAAAGGAAATGGAGTGTTCCAACGTTTTGGCTTGGACTAGAAGTTGATCAGATCAGTCGATACCGCAGAACGAACGAAGATAGGGTGATGAAGAGAGTGAGTCGAGAGAGGGAGGAGCACAAACACGACAAGGAGCTCGTAGAGACAAACGTGATAGAGACCTGCGAGACGAGACGAACAAGAGCGGGTGGGCAATGGAGACGATGATGGGGATGGAGATTGAGATGAGGGGGGGATGAGATGAGGATGGAGGATGAAAGAGAGGTGAAGAAAGAAGAGGAGTGAGATGTGCAGAAGAGAAGATGGGATGGGGAGACAGAGGAGGGGAAGGCTCAAACGGCGACAGTCAGCAACATGGGCAGAATCGTAGTTAGTGAATCAACAACCACACCTCACCTATCACTTGCTCGCATACATTTATTCCCTCTGTCACTGTAATATATTATTATTTATTATTTATTACTCCCGTCCGACATCTGTGTGGTGCGGGACAGAGCAAGCGAAAATACTGTTAATTTCAATATTCTTCCTTCTTCCGAGAAAAAGCAAAACCCAGGCAAAATCCTCGCAGAAACGTTGATTGCGACATGCAGTTGAATGAAATAATACCACGTTGCGCTGTCAGAAACGCTCTTCACCTCCTCCATTATTGAAATTGAAATCGAAAGAGCTGGAGTGCTGGAGCGCCAAACTGGATCTCTTTACACTTTTCCTCCGCGACAGGCGGCTAGGAGGTACAGTACCGAACTAGCCTGGGAACTTGGGGGTGTTAGTCCACAAGACTGGGCCACTCCCAGGACCCCCACCGTTGCCTGTTCATAATTGCAGCTGTCTCTCGTTTCGGCTCTGCCCTCTTCAACGACGGCAGAAGTATTAATAATGGGTAATAATTACTTCCCTTGAGGGCGGAGAGTTCTGCGGGTTAGTGCGGACGTACGATTGAAGCCGTACATGCTTGTTGGGACGTCCGTCTGCGGCGGAGTCCAGTCATTAGATCATAAAACTGCAAATTCTTAAACAAGCTTAGTTCTCTGAATTTGAATATCCTCCGTCAAAAAGCGCAGGTTTGACCAGGTCCTGCAGAAGAGGGTCATTGGGCATGCCTGCCGATGGACCACGCATCACGAACCACGGAAACGTTCACATCCATCTGCATGGGTTGGTTACCAGATTGGTTGCTTGTCCGTCTCCACCCATTGAGCTTACCTCAACCCCAGCCAACAACCTCATCTCGACCGCTCTGATTATTTCACACTCAAAAGTGGTTTCGAGAGATTATGTCGTTGTTCACACCATCGGTGAAGAGGCCTATTGGTGTGTCAGCCTGGATGGCATTGCCAAACCTTGAAAATGTTTCTTTGCTCCGCTGATCCCTTTCATTGAAGCTAGGGACATGAAAACTTTCATTACTGCGCAAGCCTATCGAGTGCCTCTGGAGATTTTGCCTGCTTCCTAAAGATAACTGCTCCGTGTATTATTATTATTATTTATTATTATTTATTATTATTATTATCCAACGAGTGCAAATGCCCACTCACACTCTTTTGTGAAGAAAAGTCTGGCCCCGACGCAATCGTGTGCAAGGGCGTCGCCGCTAGGCTATGCTGCAGAGGCTGCACAAATCGTGTATTCATGTAATTTTTTCCGTCCTGATTCGATGGTTGCGATATCCGCATTTCGAAAACTGTTGGCTGCAGCTCTTCGTCGCTTGCGTCGTATTTTCCATTATTTCCAGCCAATTCGTTCCTCAACACAATTATTCTTTGGCTTGTTTTTTCCCCAAACAGAATCACACCTTGCTCAACTCTAGATTTCTGAAACACTAAAACGCCAAATTTATTTCGCGGTTTGGAATTGGTTCCCTCTCACGCTGCATATGCAAGCATCAAAGAAGCTGGTAGCGTTCCAAATGGATGTCGAGTTTACAATAACTAACCCGCTAGCAACGGGATAGGCGTTTTCTGGAGAGACGCGCCTCAAAATTTATAGTTGGCCTGCGCATGGTCTCACACAGCCAGTGATGGCATGGCGATATTTCGTTAACTGAGAGATTGACCATATAGTTTAGCAAACCCAACAAACTCCCCCCCCCCCCCCCCCCCCCCAAAACAACAACAACAACAACAACAACAACAACAAAAAAAAAAAAAAAAAAAAAAAAACCCAACTCTATCCGCTTGTGATTGTAAAACGTCTGTCAATTGAGTTTGCTGAAATCAATCGGGTTTGAATGTATGTACGTGTTCTGTACATACTTTGATATGGTCGCCGGAACTGTTTCAATACCAGTACTGCTCTGCCATCACTGAATTGGAACTCCCAGGGTGAAGACATTTTTGGGAGATCGGGCCAACAGTCACTTTGTCCCACAGAATGTGTTTCCCAGAAGCTGGTCTCCATGGTCAGCATGATTCGCCATCAGGGGGTGAAAGGGATTGAGTGGAAATACGCTGCTGGATCCTCATACAATCGTTTCGATTTAACTTAGCCAATGTTCGACCTCGCAGCCGTCAAAGGGCAATTTAATGCCGTTGAAGGAATGTGTGTTTCTGTCGCCTTGATCTCTTGCCCTGCATCCATGAAGCGCACTGTGCTATCTATCATTTACATTGAGCGCTGTGTTTCTCCACTCTGATATCTTCCCCTGTCTAACCACTGCCGTCCGTCTTTGTTCACAAAACTTCCTGGGAAGACAGACGGTGCGCATTATCGCAATGTAAACAAAGCTACGGTTGAGCATCACGACTTCCTTCTCACTGGCCAGAGTGATCCCTCAAGAGCCAGCCCCTCGCACCTGCCATGGCTCTCTGGGAGATGGAGGCTCCTACTCTACAATTTGAGGAAGGAGCGGGTGGGTGAACTACAAGAACCTACCTGCTGCTGTTGCCTGTTTCATGCCATACCTACATCCTGTGTTTACATCTATCCGAGTCATCCCCTCTTCCGGCCCTCAACGGTGGTTCATCTGCTGTTCTCGGGCTACATTCGCCCTGCTTTTCCACGGAGGCTGCGCGCAATTTGCTTTCAACATGGTCAGTGACTTCAAGAGGAATGACGTAATATACCACTGGCTATCAGAAGTTGTCCCGCGAAATGTCCACCTTCCCCCCAACTCTCTCGCTCACAACTCTGCTTTTATACAGCGAGAAGATTCATCCAATACGAAACAGAACAACGGTCTGCAAGCTGCAAGCAACAAGGGGAGGGAGGGTGGTTGCGACAGAGGACGAATCGCCGAAAGCAACCAAGCTCCCCAGATAGAACGTGAGAAATATTTCACAATTTCGGAGCTTCTAGCCTTTATAGCAACGATGAATGCAGATAAAGAGGCTCGAAAGAACGCTGCTACTATGCAAAACTTGAACAAAATTACACGAGAGTCCCAGCAGCAGATGCCTTGCGCACACCCACGTGTTCCCAGCGATGCACTCAAAGGTAATATTTGCCCTCTTCCTGGTGTGTACGATTTTCGTTCTAATATAACTGCAGACGCAACCTTGCCTCCCCCAAAGGAATTCAGTGTGGCACCTGCTGCAGGGAATCTGCTTCCGTTTACAACTGGAGATAATGTTATAGATCCTTATGTGTCCGTTGCAGAAAGTGTCCGTCCTAAGAGTACCACTGCTCAATCTCCTGTTACTGTATCACATCTTGATACAACAGTGGCAAATCACGATTCAAGAAATTTTAACCCGCCAGTGCCTAATGAGATGCTTAGAAGTGCCTATGATCGTCGTCCGAGGCACAAGACTCGGCTCGACAAATATGAACTCAAGGGTATAGTCCCCTCAGCGATGCCATCAGATTCAACGGGGGTGGCCGGCACGTCATCGGCATTGAAGAGAGGGAAAAAGAGAAACGGAATTAGCACCAAGAATACTCCCAACGACGCAAGCGCTCTGTTGACTTCACCATACTCTACAGGGGTAATCAAGAAACCAGAAGTCCGTAAAGGGGGGAAGAGGAAAGACAATAGCCTTGTGAATAATTTCAAGGCGCCAAATGTTGCTCAAGAACGTCTTAGTGTCAGTAACTGCACTGCACCATTCAACAGCTTATTGCTAACATGCTTCTCTCAGCTACCGATTAACCCAAGTGTGGGATTCCTTAACAAAGCTCGAGTCGGACGGGGTGGTATGTTGCTATTCCTTACATAATCTATCTATTTCGTACTAACGATAATAAATTTGCAGTGCCTGACCTCAGCTTTTCAGGGATGGGCTTTCTGTCAAATAGCACTAAGCGCCCGAGTGAGTCAGAGCCAAACGAACAAACCTGTGCAAAGAGGGCACGGGAAGGTAACGACTCTGGGGAGACCATATCTCAATATTTCTCACGCCACCCAGAGGTACAACCTTTGCCCAACCTCCCTGCAGTTGAAGATTGTTCCCAGAGAGCCCCACAGCCGCTCAGCACCTTTCTCTCAAATCCTAAACTTAATTCAAATCAGTCAAGAGGCACCGAACCGGTGCCCCCAGACCAAAACATACATTCATTCGTCTCCAACATACCTGCAAATTCTTTCCGTGATGCTAGTGTGAACCCAGCGGAATCTACCTCGAATCCTTTGAGGAGACAAATCAATCGACCAACAACTTGGCTATCTCAAGCTGAATTTCGTGCCCCTGGTAGCAGCCATGAAACAGGGCCTGCGTGGGACCCTACCAATATTGCAATTCTCGATCACTATGGACGGGTTCTACAACATACGGCGAAGTTGTTAAGTCACAAAAACAGGTTGCAGATTAACGCTGAAGTGGACAAAGAGTACCCAATGTCTAAGTTGGTCTCTCAAACTCCAATCAAGAGGGGGGCGCGAGGGGAAGAAGCGGTCATCAAAGAGCAGAATCGCTTTTTATCTCAATTCTGCTCCGTATTTGAGTCCGACTACACAGCCTCCAGCGACATTGCCGAAGAGTGTGATGATTTAAATGCTGCAAATGGTACGTATGGCCACATGATTTAATAATGATTCCCGTCCTGGTCATCGCTGGCTCATGCAGACTAATCTTTTGCTGGGAAATAGGTGCCGCCTCTAAAGATGAACTTAACATTCCAGCTCCAGCGCCCTTTTCCTGGGAGAGTACTCATTTGCCTGCCGCACCTGATGATATTCAACGATCGCCATCTCCTGGAGAGAGAAGTAGGATTCCAAAAGAAAAGCAACGTGCCGTTTCAAGTTCGAATTCCAATCACCAAGTTGCCACTCATCCTGCGTCGAATACCAACACACATCAGCTTATTATGCACGGCCGCCATAGCCCCTCTGAGTCGTTTCCCTCATCAGTCTCTCGTTCCAACAACACTGGTCAGCATTCATCTAGAGTCAAGCCAAATAGTAATGCACACGAACCTGAACAAAATAGAGCGTCGAGAACCATTCAGATATCAGCGCTGACTTCTTCTAAGTCGAACCACCAACTAATTAGACGAAATCTGGAAAATCCTATCCAATACGAGAGAGAACCAGATATGGGGAATGGAATTCCTGTGGTACACCAGACAACTGTCCGTGGGCATAATAATGCGCGGGATTTTAATGATTGTAATTTTGAAGCCAATGGAGCGACTCATGTTGAACAAAACTCTTGGAATCCCACATGCCCTCAGTTGTGGAGTACGCGAGGACCCTCTCCGATACACCATTCGAATGCACAAGGACAGACGGATTGCATTCCGTACGGTTCGACGAGACTGGACGAACGGCAAACAGGTTCCATTATCAATCGTGAACCTGGGTACAATTCCATAAGAGTGATTAATCCCATCCAAAACAAAATCCATCTTTCATCACACTCGGCTCAGCTGCTCTATTCCAAAGGGCAGGATACTTGTAAAAGAGAATTTACAGCGAATGGAAGCAGCCCATCACACAGTATTACGAGGAACATTGAATGGCCGTTTTACGCTCATGCTAACGGTGAAAGTCATCCAGAAACGCCGACGTCAAGCATACGAAGTGGGCGCTCAAATAACCAGAATTTCGACGCAGATTGGGTATCTGAAAACCGTCCGGCAAGATTCGTTGGACACCATCCTCCATTAGACCAATTTTGTAACAATCAAAATGGTCATCAAAACTCCAACTCCCTACAAGCTACACCTAGATCGGCCATTACCATCCTTTCAAATTCTCCTTGGCGCCATCACCACATCACGACTTGGACACCCTCTCACACAACTTATCCCTCGCAAATTGTTCCAGACCTGCACTCCAATTTTACTCATCCGGGCTTATTTCCACGGGTAAACGAAGTTATGTCGCCTCCACCGAACTTTCTCACTCTCCCATTCTCTCACCCAAATAGACTATATTGAATTCTCCAACTTCTTTAATATCCTCTTGGATTGCCACAGGTGGTCTTTGGGACATTGAATATTTTTATTGGGCGTTTGCAGGAGTGTCTTCGTTGAATACTAAGCTTGGCCATCTATTAACTTTAGAACATGTCGATTGTTCTCTAGTTCAAATCACACAAGTTTCGCTATTGTGATTTTGTTCTTCCCGTACCACTGCAGAGGGTATTTCTCTTGAGCACAAAATTATGTTCAGTTTAAGTCATTTGTACTTCTGAATACTCTAGCAGGTGTGGACAGTTCATAATACTCAATCCACCACGTAAGCACTGCTTAGATAAATACAAAATTATGTATAATATGATACTTATACCTACACGCCTCCTGAAGACAGTTTGTTATAAATTTGTGAAATGTCACTTAAGATACTTAGTGTGAGATTCTAGCATTTTACCTGATTCTTGGGACACTTGCCTCTGCAGCCTATTTTTAATTCACGAAACTTAGTTAACAATGATGGATGAGTGCAGTGACAGCAGGAACAACATTAACAATGTCCAGGCAAGAAATGTAAGAGGTCTTTGAAAAGAATAAACAAACAAACAAACAAACAAACAAAAAAAAAAAAAAAAAAAAAAAAAAAAAAAAAAAAGGGTCCCTCCATGTCAATGATATTATTATAAGGAAAATTACTTTTAAAAGCTTCTTTGGTAGATATTGTGGGCACCAAGGCCTCCTATTATGGACTAGCGCCCAGTAATTACAGAGCAGATAGTTAGCTGCCAATACAACCACTCAAACGCCCGACAAGTTTAACCCTCTGAAAATCACGTCAACCAAAATAACAGGGTTTTAATTATATTTTACTCCAATGGGGGTATCAACACGCGGTTTTACCTTAAAAAATGTTTAAAAATGTTAAATGTTAAAACATGACAACGATGAATTTGTTATTTTTAACAGCTTTTTCTTTATTATGAGATTTAATATTCTGTGGATTTTGTCGTCATCACGCAACTAAGAGTCGGAGAACAGAGCCCCGTACGCTGATGGAATGAACCACTGAATGTGGCTCATGCAAATCAGAGTTGGGGGGGGGGGGGGGGGGACCTTCAATGGGAGGTTTACACCCAATCAAACTATCACCTGGAAGCTATCCTTTTGCAATCTATCGTCAGCGGTATGAGTAACTAGCAGGTGACAATTGTTAATAATGGAATTGAAAAGGGTTGATTCATTATGACACTGGAGTGGGGAAGAACTGAGGAGTACTTCCCAATACCTTTTTATATGGTGAGCAGAGAGCAGCAATCCAGACGTTGCTGATAATGCATCGCACGGTGCGGAGTATATATGTGCATATGTTACTTTTGGAGGAGCCATGATCAAAAAACGAAACCTTGAAAACTAAGGGCTTATATCTGGGTAAGAGAAGGTACATCAGGGCAGAAATTACCCTTCCACCACATGAACAACGGGATTTTTCCGTTCTCATGTTGGCTTGAGTATGACAAATAGTTTAACGGACAAGTTCTAGACTTATGGAAAAAGTTTCGTCCAGGGCTAGTTATGGGACGCGTCGTCGATCAATGAACCATAGCCCTTGCGAATTGGTTGCCCGTTGCCTGTCACAGGCTTGAAGACTATATAAGGGTCTATGCGGGCATTCGTGGAATCACGATGTGATTGATATCGCTCAAGGCTCTTTTGGCTTTAGAGTGACTAGAGCCAAAATCGTGGAGCGTAAACCTTAGACATGCATTCTTGAGCGAGGAATGGGTTTGCTGTTATCCTGAGGTTGACACCGACGTGTAGTGAGAGAGACTGTCACAAATTCACGAAATACGGCACAGGAACCGCAGGTCTTGCAGAGGCCCAGAATCCTGGACTGAAAGGTCTCACTTCAGCCGCTATCCTGGTTACGTCCTAGTCAAGCCTGGAGATCGTCCTTGAAGGCTGAGAGACCTGGAACATCAGCTATCCACAGGGGGTGAAAGTTGGGCAGAGTTATGGGCCCGCTGTGCACAGACTTTATTAGCTCATGATTGGGCAACATTCGGTAACTAGTCCAGGAATTCACTTCGAGCATTTGAGATTGACCGCTCAGGCGTAGCCTGCAGAACTTCAGCAGCAAAAATCCACTTCGTGCCGTTTGTTGGCTCAAGGGGCTTAATGGATAGGGCACCCTTGCATTCCCTGGGGAGGGGGGGGGGGTTGTTTATCGAAGAACCGCGATATCCAAAGAATAATTGGAATGAGTAGTTCACCGTTTACCACTAGGGGACGGGCCCTATCCAGAATTTTAGGTCGTCGCCTAAGGTGGAGAAATAACGACGTTGATCCCACACCCCTCGTTTTGTCTGTTCAACCATCTCGCCGGAGTGTGAGCAGGAAGTGAGAAACAGGAAACTTCGGCAAGACTAATTTCGTGTTTCAGCAACCACAGAACGTGCATATTGGATCTCTTTTCAAATCCCGTACAGCCGGACTGCTATCAAGTGGCCATCCCTAAATAACTCTCGCTGGAGCTGACGGACTATGCTTAACGCATATCTCGCGCTTGAGTTCTTGGACAGAAGTATCCTTACCCGTTTCCCCTTCGGGGCTGGTTTTTAATCCACAAGATTTTCAGCACCCGACTTTTGGAAAGGATTGCTGCATAAAACTCCAGTGAAAGCATGGGAAAGGTACGTTATTAAAACGACGCGAGAAATAAGTGGCATACCTTATCCTTGGGTCGGAGAATTAACCCCGAATCTGGAGGCCCGTTGGCCTTCTTAACTAGCTACCGTTGCCGTTCGATTTGGTCCCTCAATAAATCTGATTCGAATGGAATGTGGTTGAGGAATGAGCCATCAGACCTTGCCAGCGAAGAAACTCATGATAAAGTATAGTATGTATATTGTGTTGGAGGATTCCCCGGCTATCCGAGGTCACGTGCACCTATATATATATCTATTAGTCGTAGCTAGCTCGCTTAGAGTCCCACTGAACAACAAGGTTGATAACGGTCCTCTTAGATATTGCTTACACATATAGTACACGGTACATACATATCAGAGAGCGTGAAATCTAGACCTTTGGCTGTTTCCAAATATAACCCTTGGAACCCGGTGGATTGGTCCGTTTATGCAGGAGATGACGGCGTAAGTTAGTGGGCACTTTGCTCCCAGCGATTGCTCTTCACCATCTCAATTCGGCTGCTCCGACAGCTCCTGAGTTGACACTCAAGTCCCATAATGGGATTATTATATTCACTTCCTTCAGGGTAAGGGGGTAAGCATGCGCCCGCAAAAGCTAAAATATTTGGCAATGCTGTGTGTTTCCAGCAATCGTCACCTGTCTTTAAATTCCTCGGTATTTATTCCCTCTACCAATAGATACTGTCTCATCATGCTTCGGTTAGCATTAAATATCCAATCGCCTTCTAAAATTGAGATATTGCCGTCACAATAGTCTCATTTGAAGTCTTACAAATTTGAAGTCCTTTTGTTGCCATCACCGCAATTGACAGAAAAAAGACTGGTAATGCATAACAGGGAATATAAACCTTGTAAGATTTGCTCTGACCTCCCATTTTCGCCACTAAGTATGCCTTCTCAGAAACCTGCAAGCCACTGTAGGTATGCAAGCCAGCTAGCAGACGCTGAAAAAGATCGAATCCGCTTCAGGAAATCATACATCAATTCACGCAGGAGAGGAGTGCAAAACCAGTAGCCCCCATCGTCTCTTCTCTTCAACGTCCAACATCTGATGATTTGGACCACTTCCACGATTCTTTAGTAAGAGACAATAAACGCCTCAAGAAGAATACCATCGAACATCCTATGGAATGGTATTTGATGCCCGGTGATCTCAGTGAACCGAGCGTCTTTGCCCGGATGTATTTGTATGAGCATGGTTTAAAATACGGTGGAAGAGAGGAAGAAGATGGGGGCCACTTGAACGATTTACAGGCCAGGTCACTCGCCAGAGCAGCACGGACGCCTGAAAATACCAGTGATGGTGACAAAATGTTAGCTGAACTCTCTCCTCAGATTCCTTGGATCTCCGCTAATAAAACACCGCAGCAATAAAGACGAGGCGCGGGATTTTAGTTAGATGAATGTTGTTCCAAGCAACGGCTGATCCTTGCGGATAGAACTTTTTGCTACCGTGCAATGTGCATTGTGCATTGTCAATTTAATAGTTTTCCTTCTCTCCTTTTTTTCCTTGCCCTTTTCCCTTTTCTTGTTTCCACTACCTCCTCCCTCTTCCCCCATTTCTTCTTCCCTTCTCTTCTTCTTCTCTCTCTCTCTATTAAAAAAAAGAAAAATTATTTGTTTTCTTCCTTCAATTCACTCTTCCTTCTAGAGTCCGTTGGGAATTTCGTGTCAGGAAACAAGTTGCTTTTCCAAACCCTGACAAATAAATGGAAGCTCAGCTTTCATGCAAATAAAAACCAGTTAAGAAGGTATTGCGTATTACTTCAATCACAAGCTCTGAAAATAAATATCATAATTCCCGCACATGTCTTCAGGGGGAAATATGGAACTCCGCATCTTAACATCCATGAGTCCCCAGCCTCCTGGCCCCCTAGAATGGTACCCCTCCGCGAAAACAGAGAGCTTTTGTCGTTTTATTTTCCTTTCTCTTTTCTCCTAGCCTCTATTGATTTTCGGTTGTACGTGATTTAGATTGGTAATTCTGTTTTTGCTTCCGTTGCTCGTTAGATTTGAACGTGTATGCCACATAGATAGCACGGCTCATTAAAGAATTCTGCAAGCACACTATAATAATTAACACTGGATACTTTCTAACTGTTATTCATCTTAAATCCCGCAATGCCCATTTAATGCCCATTATATGTCATGCACATTCAAACCCCTCTCTGTCAGAAATGCAATAGGGTGTGTGAATGACAGCTCTGAGCTATAACTAACATCTAAATGTGTAACTAATCAGGCTTCATCTGAAGATCTGCCTTTGCGCTCAGGAACGCCACACAAAGACAGCCAGTTGCAGGTGATTCTCACATGTGATTTTCGGAGGAAATGTTTTCTGTTCTTATGTATTCTTCATGGCGATATAGCCATCATTTGGTAGATCTTTGGCTGGGAGGAGGTGGATTTCCGTATGGGCAAAAAAGTATCAGGGTTTCGGGAGGTGCGGTCCGTGCGGGCCGAGCCAGAACTTGGAACAAACCAAACTTCAAAAGTCCCTCAAGCTGCAAGTCGACTCCGTCCATGACAAGCTTCCTTTTTTCTTTTATGTTTCTTCCTTTTCTTCTTTGGAACATGCCATATTTAGTCCAGGCTGAAGGGAACCTCAAAATTTGTGAGGAAGAAAAAAGACGACGGGGGGTGCCTGAACGGCAGGGAACGGCCTGCACGACCTTCTCTGGTCCCAGATTTCGACGTTGGACACTGTGACTGGGTTGAGAAATCCCTCTGTGCTCTGCCTAGTTAGTGGCTCGCTGTTCCCTTCCTCTCTCCCCCCTCCGCTTTTTAACGAACTGTGGCGTGGCTGGGTTGATATCTAACATTATAAATAGAGAATAACTATAGTTGGTTCAACAGTCATCGCAGCACTGTTTCTCAAAATAATACTGGCAACCTGTGATGATTTATCTGACTCAGAATCACACATGTTAAAGGAATCTACAGAGCTATCAAACGGAATCAGTGATGATGCTGTAGGTGTCTCGAAAATTATCAACACCCCACTCTATCAATTCATCACCCTGGAAGTCAATATTGACGAATGAGATAGAGAAAAATCCGATTTAGATCGGATGAATGGCAGTGGCTAATCAGCGCTGGGTTGATTTTGCAGCAACTCATTTCGTATCATCTCCTCTTGATGAACGGTTTAACCATGAGTGGATAAATGTGAACGTATTCTTCAAAGTGGTTAAATAGCAGAGACGAAATCCTAGAGCTCTCACATCGATCGGCGTGAAAGACCAGATAGTGGCATGAGGAGGTAATCATAGGCTCACTTATTTTTATTCCTACATATTAAGTTACTCTTGCCATCGGCTGGTGGGATAGTAACTACGAAATCTATAATGCTTGACATGAAATACCAACAAACTCGTTTCAGATTGATCTGAACTCCATACTCCGTCACTATAAGTTGCTGCTTTTACAGCCATTAGCATCTATGCTCCTACAGGGATGGGGTAATAGTCCATGCGAGCCCACGAGCTTAGGTGCATCTTGGCTGGAGAATCCCTCTGCTGAAGAAAATGCCGCAAACCACTCACTATGAACTCAAAACTTATCTCTTATGTTAGCTAGGAGAAGAACCCTTAACGTACATGCGAAACACTGGTCATACAACAAGTATTGGATTAATGGAGTTCCCGGGTGGATCACATACTCCGCTAGCCGGATGACAGGAATTGCTATTTCAGCTTCAATGGGTTTGAAATAATATGGCTGCAATGATAAATTATAGCTGCTGGGACAAAAAATGGCAGTTACCAAATGTCTGTAGTTTTTCAACGCAGTATGAAGTAATATTGTATCCATTTTGCATCCTAGAGCCTGTTGGCCATGCAGGTGCCTAGATGGAAGCACACGGCTATTTGCAAGAGAGTTCAGTTATAATCGCCAAACAGAGAAAACTGGTCCCTAAGGTCAATGTTCCGGAGAATATCCGTACCATTTTTATCAACCCCCTGGCCACTTTCACCAGTTATGGATATTTACATACTCCAATGATGCGTCAAAGAGTTCACAAAATGTACTCAGCCCCTGCACTTTCGGCTTTGTCGTGTGAACAGATGCTATTTTCGTAAACCCGATGGTATTAAAATAGACATACCAATTGGGCAAATTTAAAGATCTTTTTCATTCTCCCTCAATTCTCATCCGAAATAATGGATAATTTGGAACTTTTTGCAATCATGTATGTACAAACATACATGCACTTTCACACGGAGTGCACCTTATGAAGCTGTCACTTCAACAATGTTAATTTACTCGAATAAGGAAGAAATATACTGAACAGGTGTTTGACACTCGTGCACTGTAGGATTTTCCACCACATTTAATGACTTTAGGGTGAAATGCGGGATGCAGGTCTACACCTCAAGAGGTCAAAACGCTATATAGACGCAAAACTCGCAGTCAGATTCAACAGTGAAACCTCCGCCCCACCCCGGCTGCTCCCCAGTTCTCCATGTGCTATTGCACTCTTTACCCCGAATCCAGGGTATGTAGTAGGGTAATGATAACCATATGCAACCCATCCTCAACGCCTGATCTGGCACATCTAAGCTCCGCAGATATGCAGTTATTCTCCACGTGTTGCATGCTCAATTCATTGAGACAAAAGCTGCCAAACATTAGCACATGTTCTGGCTGCGGATTCATGAACAGTGTTGGCGTCTGCATTCAGCATAATCTGGATAGGTGATTGGGATACGCTGCTTCCAAGCTCATGTTGGCATTCTAACTCCGGGGCCAGAACGTATCTCATAAGTCCTTTACTCGTGGCTTCTCATGGATGATCCCTTTCACTAGAGACGGGCAGGACATATAACGGAACTAGCTGGGTCAAGCGATAGCGAGACTTGAAAATACCCAAAATGAGACCTAATACAACTCCATGTACAGAGAAGAGGACCAAGCCTGTTCGGAGCAGCCGATCGGGGTTGGGTTGGAATTTCTAGTGCTCTCCACAAAGTCTATCTAAACAATCCTCGAAATAACCGGTGGTTGGAGCGATCAAGTGTTCTCCTAACTGTTTCACATATGGTTAACTACCTGATATATATTCCTTGGCACACATACCTGGACAGAAAGGGACCATACTCTCCATCTTACCCTGGAAAAGAATCGGGGTGGAGCACCTAAGGGGCAACGAAAGGGAACTTTGAGAAGAGATGAGAAAAGCATAAATATGTGAAAGATTCCTGAAAACTTCTCACCTATGCCTTCTATCCAGTATCGCTGGCAGAAGAAACCTGTGAATGCCATCACTTGCCTCAGTCCATCTTTACTTTTTGTATTTGACATATTTCTTCTCACTCCTCGTTTGCCTAATTTGTATGCTCCTGTTGTCCGCAATTGAAACAGCGCCGAGCTCTTTGTTGACAATAATGCGTACGCACTTCGCGGCAGTACTCCTTGGAATCTCATGCGCAGCAGCCTATGTCGCAAGGTCACCAAAGAACTTGTTGGATCTTACCCCTCGGGTCAGGGAGAAAGCCGAAATATGCAAGCTTCCCTTCACTGGGGTAGGCCAAATGGCGTTGAACAACACCTGGGAAAAAAGCGGTGCTGGCGAGTTTCTCGATAAGTTCCTGAAGAAATATGGAACTAAAAATTGGACCAACAAGTTCTTTCAACATACCGTGAATATGGGTAAACATGGCGGCTCCACGTTTAACTGTATGAGTTACCCTGGCGGCGGACCCTGTTCGACACCTGAAAGCTCAGCCTGCGAAACCTACAACCCGCCAGAGGCCTTTTTTGTCCACCAATCAATAGGGATGCTGAAGGGTGCTTTCGATAGAATCCATGAATCGATTCAGAACTTTATGATTAGTGCCCTGCTTGAAGACATACAGAATGCGGTTGACATATTTGGTCCTCCTGAATCAGAAAATCCCTATATATGGTCATTGATGATTGGCGTATTTGTATCCGCAGTCGCGTTTACCGGTCCAGTCTGGCAAATTGGTGCTCCACTAACTGGGGTTGTTGGTGCTCTGAATCTGGCTGCTGGTGCGGAGGCAAAGAATGCCAAACCTCTGAGACCCGCAGACTTCAAAAGGCTAACGGAGAAGGATGTGAATCGTTTCTTTACGGGCATCGAAAGAGCTCTCAAGGAAACTGTCGACGCAGTTTTTGGGGGTAAATTTGAGAGAGTTGGTGAAATCGAAGATAAGGTCAAGTGGATCGGAGAAATATTTTCAGAAGGCAAAATGCTGGACAACTCAAAACTTGAGCCGGCTATCAATACATATACCAACGCAATTGCGGCAATGATTGTAGGTTACATTACCTTTTCCTCATACACGCTTGCTTTAATGGTTGAGGCTGACTGTTGAAGAAACAAGGAATAGTCGTTCAGTGTTTGAGAGCAGGGAAGTATTACGTGTCGCAAAGGGTACGATGAAGCCTTTCATCATTCTGTCACGACCGTTTAATCAATAACATGCGTTCATATGCTTATCTGTTCTGGTTCTTAGTACGACATAAGCAAAGACAAATGTGAGAAAGAGAAAAGATTATGGATGAACAATGCAAGTCCACCTAGCTAGGTATCCACAATTGCTAACATTCGCCTTTGACGTCGATATTTTGTCTGCCACTGGACTAACATGCTGGGATTATTGCTGACATTATCTGTTTACCGCAGCGCTGCACGGCGATCGTAAAGAGAACAGAGGACCATTTGAGTCCTGGACCCTCAATCCTCATGACTGAAAAGATGTATAACTCTTTCACCCAATACTATGGCTTCGATTACAAGACAGCCTTAACAAATGCTGTCGACTGCGCAGTTAAAAAAGGCAGCGGCTCTCCTGATTGGACGAAACTCCCATCTTTCACTCAAAAATCGAAATGGCCTGAATGCTTTGTTAACCTTCCCGTGAAAGATGAGAACTTCTTTGGAGAATACCAACCCAAAACACCAAACCCAAAAAATCCCTGGAGGGGTGGCTGGTGCGGGCTCCACATTACTCAGTATCAGAAAAACCAAAACCAAAAGGGGTGGAAGACGGGGAAAGACTTTGAGTTTGACGTTAAGATATATGATGCTGAACAGAAGGAAATTGGAAGTGCAAAAAGGGAAAAAGCAGCCACTGGAAAGAGTTTTGGGATTGGCAGTATGCTTCCATACAAACTCATTGTCACAGCTGGCAAATATGACAGTTCTCCTATCGAATTTGCGTATGCAGGTGCGCAGTGGGACTCTGATAATAGGAGACGTTGCAAAATTTCAGCCATGTATGACAAGGGTAAGCGACAGGGAGACTGTGGATTCACGTGTTAAACCGTCCACTCGAATATTAGAGAGATAGAGTGACGGGACAGGACAATGACCCCACTCCTGTTGTATCTAGCAAGTTTAAGTGGTAGCTTACTCTCCAGAAATTGCACTTGAATTAAATCCCATGCACAAAGGCAATGTATTCTCAAGCGATTCCATTTCCCAACCGTGAGTTACTGTATGTGCATTCACGGTGTCTTTGTTATAATGTGGAAATGGATGAAGTCGAGCCAGCGAGGGGGCTAAATGATCTCATGATGGACGAAGAGTTGCGGATGGATCTCTGACATTGAGCCTATGAATCAGGCCACGTCCGGAGAGTTCCATTTTCTAATTGTAAGAATAGGGGGTCGTCACTGGATTGCAGTTTTGGAGCGAGATCTTCATCCAATGCTGAAAACATTTAGTTCCGCCATTGGTGGTTCAAGGGCTATGCAGGAGCCCTAGTTGAGGGACCGTAAATGAGCAAGCACCGGCACCGATTCGGATTATTGGGCCAGCAGCGACGTGGAGGTCCGATCGGATAAGTAAGCCTTGCGAACGTTAACTAGTTAACTTGTGGCTGAGCCAACTAGCGGGCATTGCCTCCATCCAACCGCGGGTTGCCTTGCGTCTTTTGCATCTGCTCTGCGTGATGGTTAATGAATGGATTATGAGGAACTTATATCCCATATCCCTAGTCGCATCACAGGAATCCATTCGTTGGAGGGGAAGATGTCAGTCTTCACGTTCTCCGTCTTTCAACACCATCCCTAATAACTTCATCCAAGAGCATCGAACACCTCGCCGCTCTCCCAACCCCAAATCTCTTCAGCAACCTTGGCACTGGAGGATGAAGTGATCCACTCTGTTGTTCATCGAATACGCTTCGCCGATGAAGCGCGTTGCAGCATCATATCATAATTAATGCAAGGCACAAATATTTGCATTCTCAGGAGAAAGTAGACTTCTTGCAGTGGCAAGGTCGGTCATCCCATCTCCTTCTATCCGCCAAACCTTCATGGCTATGCTTAAACCATCGACAACGCGCTTCAACTTGCTGGTGATAAAATTCAGGCGCGGAATTGGTGAAGCCTAACGATATTCAACCAATCATGGTTTTTCACAAGAAATATTATTTTCTGTTCTTTCTGATCGCCAAGTCCATTCCGCACTCCCCGCACCCAGAAATGATTTCGCATCTTCTCCTTCCTCGAATATAACATGTAAGGTGCCTCCTCACTGCATTTGTTCTAATCAATAAATAAGACGATCTCAGCCAATATTTGCCCACGGCTCGCTGTTCTTTAAGAGTGCCCTCGTGATGTTAAAATTTCCCATCTTAGAAGCTTCAGGCTTCTTGAAACCCTCTCGGATAAGAACATCTGTTTTAACCAATATTCCATACATCCTCAGTGGCTTTGGCTCTCTCCTAAATCCACTAATTCTATTCTTTGCCTGGTCTTCTTTCAAAATCCAACTTGCAAATATGGCCGCACCAAGTTATAAAACCTTTTGGAAAGGATTCTTTCATATCTCGACGGGATATACTGTTTCACCAGAGGGCCTCTATTGCTCTTCCTTTCTCTAACTAACGTGTCCGGGGTAACGGAATATCAATGCGTCCGTAAGGCGAAGGCCAAACTAGCACTGGCAGATCTACCCGTGGAGGGCTTCTTATCCGTTTTCTCAATCCGCTTGTAGGACAAAGTTTAGCAGGAAAGGCGTCTTCCCTTCTCATGGTCTGGAATCAATTGGATTGGGACCAAATTCCCTCGGGTTCATCTCCCGAAATGGCCCTTTTCCTAGGCCATTCGCCGTCGCCAGAATAAACCCGTTCAAACGACAAAATATCCATATAGTCCGGGAAACAACGTGGATCAGGTCCCAGAGCAAGTTGGCCTTCTGCCGTCAGATAATGGATTCGTGCTCTAATGTTTACGTAACTTCAGCCAATGCAATATGAACAACCAGTGAATGCCAACCAGCCACGTTAGCCAAGGAGCTTTGCCAAGATGGATGGGACCTTCTCTGGGCCGATAATGATGAAATCTTTTGATTATGGCCTTAAATATACTTCTCTATCCAGTGTTCCAATAGGAGTTTTGAAATCCTGTTATGATCCAGAGAACAACAATATGCTGTCCACCTGGAACATAGTACATCCAAAGATCCCAGGCCAAAGTGTGAATAACGCATGCTTTCTTCCATTGAAGAATTTTTCTCCAATGTCCTCAAGGTAGTAGGCTGGAAAACTTATATCCAAATTCCACCTTCCAGGCCTAATTTCGTCCATTACACAGAAAGCTCTCAAACCTTTTCCATTCCAGACTTCTGCCACAGGACCATTGATGGAGACCATCATTCCACATCCCATGGTACAACTTCTAGAGTGGACCACTCGCATGTCACTGCAACGGACTGCAACCCCATTATACCTTTCCAGGTTGGAAATGGGCGCTCTTCCATGAACATGAATGCCAACGAAACATTAAAGAACCAAACATCTCATAACATGTCTCTCAGGCCCACCGACTCCAGTTCATCCAAGATCAAGTCCCAACCAGCCGAACACCCATTTGTCGAAATTACCTTTGATGCAACCTCTGGCAAGCTGCCAACCTGGGATCAAACAAGAGATGGAGAACTAAACTTGAGAAGCAGGAAGCCGCTCGAATCCGACAGAAGGGTGGTGTCTGTGCAAGATGCCGTACAAAACACCGCCGAGTATGTGCTCTCCACTGTTCGCTCTGCAGCGCCGACTCTAGTCTAACCATGCTTGCAATATCTAGTGCAGTATTGATCATCATCAACCGAATGATTGTCAATCAACGATAAGTGACCCCCGTAAGCAGATTTATCCCCAGTATTTGGTCTAATAAGGCATGAAAATGCATTGTAAAAATAAAAATATATAAATGGATGTGTTCCTTAACGGATTGATAGGTCGTTCAAATAAATCGACCACCACAGCATCCCGGAAGGCTATTGCACACGCAGCAAACTCCCAACAATCAGGCGACACCTTCTATCACCACGTCCAGTTTCGTCAGAGGATCTCCTTCAATAACACACTGCCTACAGAAAAGTGAGACAAACTCTATCATATCCTCCAACACAGGAACTGGACGTTAAAATTTTAAGGGTGACGAATGACACTGGCGAGATTGGGGGACAATTTCGGTGAGTCACAATGGTGCAATGCAGTATACCAAAAATGGTTATGTGACCAAAGGGATTATTTTGTAGGTATACTCGTGACAAAATAACAGCGAGAACTTTCCGCTGCTGCCCGAAACCATGGCGTTATGATTTCTCCTGGAAACAATTGTGATGACATCCAGTATCAATCGTTCCCCGTGGGTGGAGTCAACGTCAACAATTGCCATCTTAGGGCCGCCGTAGATCTCTCCGAAAAGAAACTCTCTCGATACTTACTTGACAAAGGGCAGCCTTAGGCAGGCTCAGCCCTTCGTCTTTCAGGTTCTCACTGAAGGCCTTCAACAGGAACTGGCTATAAAGATCATCCCTTTTATAGATGGACCACTGTGCATAAGCAAGACGAATGTTGCAGCTTTAAAAGACAGTTAAGGTTGCAACACACTATATCATCTCTTTTAAGTTCCGGTAAGAGATCGGCGACCTGTTGTGTTGAAATTTGGGTTTGTTAGGTTCGCGTGATTTTAATTCAACGCCCATCTTGGAATTTGAATTGTAAGGCAGGTGCCGGAGTAGCTACAGGCGTTTGGTTCTTTTTTGGTTTTAATGTGACACAAATGCATCTGAAGTCGTGAATGGTGGGCTATCTTTATCATATATCCAGGAGTCGCACTTCTGTGGTAAATTTTGCATAGGAATCTATGGTATCTATTTTTGTTTTCATTTTCTTTTTAGTTTCGAGTCCTCGTAAAACGTTGGTAGACAGCTGTCAACTCCCTACCATGGTTTTTATATCAAGAAGCCTTGACATTGTCACAGAGAAGCCTGAGCTTCAATAACTCCAGCACCGCGTAAAACAGCCTTATTCTGGACAACAACTTCCACTGGGTACTTCCATTCCATCATTTTCGCCCATCCTGTAAAGAAAACAAGGGTAGTTAGTAACCGAAAAGAAGGATAAATTCTGTGGATAAAAGAAGGCCGGTAGCATACCCAAATAAGCACATTTCCTTCCCAAATACTTGCCGACAAACGGTATAATCACCATAGTGAGAAGTAATTCTAACTGCTGTATACTTTCCTTCCATTCCATTTCGGCATCGGACTCATCATCCCCATCGCTGAAGCCCCCTTCTAGCGAAGAATCAGAGGCGGAAACGGAAGGTAATGAGGCAATTTCGTCTTCATCGGAGGATGGATTTAGGTGCGACGTTACCATATAAGTTGAGGCTGACGGGGGAGAAGAATAGGAAGTAAAACTGAAGGTAGGAGAAGCGGACATGGTGAAAGTGTTAGAGGGTGGTGGAAGGTCGACGACCAGAGCGATTGGTGATAAAAAAAAAGCTGGCGGAACCCGGGAGGAGGGTGGGAAGGTTCGCGGTATTGTACCGCAGTTATACCAAAAAGAGCATTCAGACCACCCAAAATCAGTCCCTGGTGCAATGCTTTGCAAAGCGAAAGTAGTCAAATAACCTAGCAGCTGTCGACTCCAGCTTATTGTTATAACCTCTCGTGCATGTGCAGATACTGTGCATACATATACGCTGTTGGCAGAGGGCAACAAGATCCATGGGATGTAGGTGGGAATGCCAAGAAATATACATCACGTGCCGCAAATTCTTCCTGCCTTTTTGTTGCTCTGCTGCCAAGCAGCGAGTGAATAAGCGACGTCAAGGACTCTGTCGATATACAAACCGCCCTCATATTTATCACTTTTTTCACCCTTCATTCATATTTTGTATGAACATTAATCCTTTACGAAGTTGAGCAGCAGTTGGTATTTTCGTGGTCACTGGCTGTCCTGGAACGATCACCATGGCTGACACGGTACGTCACATCCAACTATTTTTGATACGCTTCCCACATTGATTTCCCTACCACTTTTGGCATGACCATCCGTACTATTAAGAACCAGTTCTCACAATATATAATTTCCAACTAACCCTTATTCTTTATTGCAATCCAAACCAAAAGTGCTAATTGTGTTTTTATTGTAAAGGAAACTCCAGTTGTCGAAAGGAAGCACAGGAAATCAGTAGCGTTTAGTGAAGGGACTACGATCATGGATGCAAATGGGGCTATCTCTGAGGCTAACCATGCCGACAAGACTTCTGCTGAGAAGCACACTGCCAGTAAGTGATGGCTCCCTTCCGGCGTCTCTTTCTTCCCATCAATAATCTACTGACATTCAACTCGCAAAAACTAGCCTCTCCAGACAAAGAGGTCGACGAAGTAACCGAGCTTTTCAAAGGGCTCTCAAAAAAGAAGAAGACAAAGAAGACAAAGGATGCAGACGCAGAGCCCTCCGCGGACGGCGAGTTCGATCCCTCGATGATGAAAAAAAAGAAGAAGAGTAGTAAAAAGGCTGCAGATGGAGACTTTGAAGCTAAACTCGCCGAAGCTGGTCTGACCACCGAGGAAGCTGCGCCAGAGGACAAACCTTCAACCGAGGAGATCGTCAGCGACATCGAACATGGCAGAGGCATCTGGGCTCACGATGCCACACAACCCATTCCTTATAACCTTCTCGTTACTCGCTTCTTCACCTTAATTCACAGCCACCATCCCGATATTCTTTCAAGCGGCTCCAAGTCCTACAAGATCCCACCGCCCCAGTGTCTGCGTGAGGGCAACCGGAGAACTATCTTTGCAAATATTACCGATATCTGCAAGCGTATGAAGCGATCCGAAGATCACGTCATGCAGTTCCTGTTTGCTGAGTTGGTCACGAGCGGCAGTGTGGACGGAAGCAGAAGACTAGTCATCAAGGGTCGCTTCCAGCAGAAACAAATTGAGAATGTCCTGCGAAGATATATCGGTGAGTTGTTCTTATCATGCCCTATAAAGTGTGTAACCAAGAGAACTTGCCTTTCTAATTCAATTTGCTTCAGTCGAATATGTCACTTGCAAGACGTGCCGCAGTCCAGACACGGAACTCAACAAGGGCGAAAACCGTCTTTATTTCGTTACGTGCAACTCCTGTGGTAGTAGACGCTCCGTCACCGCGATTAAGACAGGTTTCCGTGGTCAAGTCGGAAGGCGGAAGAAGCAACAGGGCTAAACAGGGAGATACGTTGGCTTAAAATACTTTGTTTCGGCATCTAAAAGCCATGGGTAATAATGGCATGTTCTCTTTTTCCAAAAAGAAACTCGATTCTGATGACTTGATTAGTTTTTTACTAGGCCTCCATAAACTTTGTTTACGACCAATTTTCCTTGTTTTCTTTTATCCTTCTGTTTTAATCGGAAGGAGCTGGATCTATTGATTTCTTTTTTTTCTTTTTTTTTTTCAATTTTTTTTTTCTTCTCTGTTTTGTTTGCTGCTTATGTCTATACATATCCCCAAGGACATTCTGTCTTATGATGATTTTCGCCGTCGTTGTCACAATGTCATGCATTCTTGTAGCCTTCTTGTTTCCTTTTCTCCTCGAAATCTTACTTTCTCTCATGATTTTCCCTTCAAAACTATCCCATCCCTGAATAATGCACATGTATGTGTATAGGAAATCGGGCCGCCTTACGTTAAATGGAAAATAGGGAAAGGAAGGAAGATTAGAGACATGTGATGTGAAAAGTTCGAAGTTAAAAAAAAAAAAAAAAAAAAAAAAAAAAAAAAAAAAAAGGTAGAATTAGAAAGACACTGAATGGAAAATATGAGGTCTTTACGATAATTTGAACTTAATTGGTTGAACAGTTAAAGCTACGTGATGACTTCGTGCATTGCTCGATCTCAGACTTGGAGAACGGTGGGAGGGTTGGAAATTGTGATAGGTATTCCATCCCCGTCGCATTGGCGTACGATATGTATCGAACTAACCTTGCGACTTGAAAACGGGAACATACTTGGCCCGTGGTAAGCATACGGATGTTTGTCTCCCCAGTTATTGTTTGGCTCGCATTACCTGCAGAGTGTAGGGAGCGGCTCCGTCGAATTTTCGGCCCGGTCCTGAAATTTGTACTACACAACTCCTTGCAATAAAGTGCATGGAAACTTGGAATTGTATACTTGGGTACGTACTATACATATCTTCTGGACTTTAATGTTATCAGCGAATTTTCCTCATACCGCTCTGCTTGTTTTGGAAACAGAAACCCAGGGGCGATTAGTCTTGGAATAATGTTTGTTTCTTTTACCAATGTCACGCCGTGAATGTTGAGGGCAGCAAATTGCCTTAATAATGATTCACATACTCAGCGCCCCAAAGGGGTGGCTGGCGTACGAGACCAGGAAGTGGTTACTAGACCATCACTTTTCATTCTCACTATGTCGCTAGTGAACAACAGCAAACGCAACTAATTCTGGTAAATTTGTTGCTCACGTATCACGCTGCTGCTATACACTTTGTCAAACTTCTCCAACCTGCTAGCTGCATGACAGCCAGCCAATCTGCGGGTCATTCCTTAGGGACCTAGGAGACGACTACAGCTGTGTTCGTTTTGCTTTCATTATCAACTTTGCTTGAGGATGCCTTTGCCAGACCATCGCTGTTGAGGGTAGCACGGAAAGCCACACGCTGCGGCAGCAGGTAGCGGACATCGATCACTCGCAAGACGCATGTCATGGTGATCACAAGGACCAACAGCGCAATAGATGATTGCCAGCCATACTTATAATGTGGCGTTTGCGAAGCAGGCCAAACCAAGACCTGAGACCACGCACTTAGGGAGTAGTATCCCGCAACGCTGACGCCGACAATCAACGAACGCGCCTCAGGGTCCTGCGGGGTGATATCGGAAAGCCAAGAGAAGATCAATGGTGCTGTCCCCAGACAAATATATGAAATGAAATAAGATGCGTATGCAGCTGATATAGCTATCTTTGTGGGATGGGATGTCCAAATGCTCATGGTAATGCATGGGATTATCCCGAGCACAGCTTGGGCGACAATTAGCGTCCAGCGCGTCTCCATAAAGTCAGAAAGCAAAGCCCAGACCCACACAAAGACAACATTAATCACCGAACCGCCGATCGGGATCGCATTAACCTGTGAAACACTCCATCGAGAACTTCCGTCTGCGTTCTTCTGCGACTTGAGAAAGAGTCCGAAGTAGACATATCCGTACGTCCCCAGCACGGTCGCGATATATAGAGCCGCAATGAAATACACTACCCAGCTTGAGAATGTGCGACTGACTCCCGCCCAAGTCATCCGCTTCGGTTCCACGCGGCCGTGGCGGACTAGTCTCTCCATCGACAGCTCGGCGTGGTCCTTCGTAAACCAAACCGCGCGGGGGTTGGGTTTGTTTGGCAGGTCAGGGAGCATGAAGACGCCGGCACAACCCCATACTACGGTTATGATAGCATTTAATATGAAGAGCCACCGCCAGCCAGCAATTCCACGGTGGCCCTCCATCGTGTTGGTGATGCTGGCTTGCAAAGCACCGGACATCATTTGGCCAACACCCTGGCAGGAGTGATAGAATCCAATTCTGGATGCAAGCTCCGTTGGTGTGTACCAATGCACTGAGGGACGGAGTTAGTCTCTAATGGTAGAGTAGAGAGAATGGAGCTGAGTGAACAGGGTCCAGAGAGTCAGTCGATGTTGGAAGGGTAAGGGATGCCTTACTGAAAAGCGTAACAGTACCCGGCCAGGCCGAGGATTCACATACTCCCAGGAAAACCCTCAGAATATAAACCTGCTTGGACTCTTTTGCTATAGCGATCAGACCAGTAATAACCCCCCAGGAAACCTCTTCAACAGATATCAGAAACAGAACGATACGGCAGGGAAGGCTGTCCACCACTCACCTAGGCCAGAGAGCCAGAAGCTCGGGCGAACATACGTCAAAATGATTTGAGAAGGGATGAGGAATATACAATAAGCAATCTATACCAGAAATTCCTGTTACGGCGTCCAATTACAATAAACGAATAAAGTTTAAAAGTATTATTAACTTGCATTGAAGTACGTTGTGAAACTGAGAACATTAGCTCTTTTTCACCAATTTCTTCGACGATATTTGAAGCACTACCAATCTTACTAATTGAGCTGGTTTCCATGCAGATTCAGGTCTTCCTTCATGCCAGAAACATAAGCGTTGTTGATATTCTGCTGATCGAGGTATTTGATGACTTAATTGGATGGTCAATTCCTAACTCTTATGGAAAGACTTTTTGTTTCGTCGACCTACCTTGAGAAAGACAACCAAAGGTCAGAAGAAACATGTCTAGTCGTCGAACCAGAGCTTTTTCATCTTGTGAGCGAACATGATTTGTTGTAGTCGCTGAGCGATAGAGGCGTTTGAAAAATCTCATCGTTTATAATGGCAAATAATAGCAGGGTGAGAAGAGTGGTAGGGATGGGAGAGGACAGAAAGTGTTGTTTCTAGCGATTGTTTGATCATGGCTATGATATGGAAAAGCCAATAACAATACGGAAATAAAGAACTAGTCAGCTGCTTAACGGGTGCCAAAGCACAGAGGTAACACTGCAACCAATCAGTGTTACTGGTTGTTAGCTACGTTAAGCATGTCGACAATTGTCAATTATCTCTTGAACAATGGAAGGTTTGGCATACGGCGTTTAATTAGCCTTACATCCAAGAAACCTCCACATCGAGATAAATTTTCTTTGCAAAGGCTTGAACGTAACAAGCATCCATCCACACCCCACAAGCCGATAGAATAATAGTTTGAGAATTTTTAAAATCAACTGTTTTTCAACTGCTCAATTGCGGAAGCTTGCCGTAGCTGCAAACGTCCGGGTATTCCAAAGGGGCCGTTGGCTGAAAGCCACAATTTTGGGTTAACGTTATGGCTCAATGCCCGGCTCTTCTCTTGAAAAACCTCTTGCGAGGCCCCGAAAATCGGTTCAAAATGCCGCTGAATGCGGGGTCAACATCATGGAGATCGGCATCGCCATAAGTGCTGTAACGGGAGACAACGGCTATGAGGACCAAGCATAAGATTAAATAGTTTGGCTGATGTCCACAACCACCTGCAGGAAAGACGCCAGTTCTGAATGCAAATCCAAGACTCCTCGTTGTGTGGGAATTAATCCCCTGTCATTGATCTTGTCCGACACCGACACATTAAAACTTGTTCTTACTTTCTTATTTCTCATTCGTTTATCTCCTGACGGGCCGCTCACGACTCTTCGCGGAAACCTGCAATGGTATTTGCTCCCAAAACCAGCAATAGCAATTCCGAAAACCGCTCTGGCAAATGTCTACCAAATGCAACCCCATGTCATAGTTACTGGCAGCGGACTACTCGACCATTCCCACTTCTATACGCCAATCGAGAGAGAAAGAAGTTCCTCCGGGCTTACAATATTTGATTATTGGCTCGGTGTTTAGCGGCAGTCTTGCGGCCTTCGAGCTAGCTACTTGAGGCTGGCATTAACTGGAAGGATATCATCATACTCGAAGCACGGAAGACCGAGAGTGGTGCAAGCTCGCGAAACGTCGGTCACATACGGCCAGGTCTGGCGACAATATGAAATATCTCAACAAGATATTGCTGTTATAAAGTTCCATGTCTAGATCTACTAACCTCAACTTCCTCCAGATGCATTCCGAGGCTTTACTGCTTATTCAAAAACTCATGGCAAGGAACAAGCTCTTATAATCATCGCCAACGAACGCCTTCTTCTCTAAGAAAATCGATGAATTCATTAAAAGGCGTAAGGTTTCATGCGAGTATAACCTCATAACAACCTTTGATGTTTGCATGACATCTAAATTTGCTGGTGGTGATGTCTCACATGTCAAGGCTAATGAAGGAAAGGAGGCAGGGGCCAAGACGAGAGTCAAGGGTGCTGCAGCGGCCTGGAGTGGCCTGCCAGGTTATGCCAACCAACAAGACACGCAGAATTTCTACCACCAAACGTTGTATCGAGAGGTGCATAGTTGTCCACATTCTACACCGTCACCGATATCAAAGGAGTGAATCAGGTTCAGGGCTTTGGGACGTGCACACGTCACGAGGAACGGTGATGGCGCAAAAAGAAAAGAAATAATAATAATAATCCATTGCAACAAACGCTCATGCAGTTCTATTACTCCCGCAAATGGATCCATATATCACACCAAGTTGCGCGCAGCCTCACTCTCTAATCCCCACTCCAACTTTTGCATTAGAGAACATGTTGCAAAATATGTTCTTGCTGCAGTACATCCTTCACCACTTCTACTCCCTCATACAGCTATAGAACAATGGCACGCTGGTCTTCCAGGCGTCACAGTTTAATACCTTTTTTTAAGTCCAGAAACGATTGCTAGCCATTTGAGTACGGATGATGCTGAGTATAGCGAAGAAATAGCCCAGGATACAATGCATTGTGAAGGACTTAATCATGCTTGAACCAGCATTATTGCAACGATGAAGGATTCCATGTCAACTGCTGGACTGATTAAGCATTTAATCTGTGTGTGCAATATTTCTGCGCGCGGGCGTGATGAGTGTTGTTATTGAATCTCTTATTCATTACTTGTTTCCTTGTTCTCTTCCTTGTTCAGACAATTTATCATTTCTGTCCAATCTTGTAAGACTCAGGAATTGATTTAGTATTACTTTTGCATTCAGGGATGGCTTGAATAGTCACTTGTGCACCAGATATTGTCAAACTTGTTGAGAAAGCTTGGTGTGAGACAGGATTACCAGATTGTTTCCAGCTTTCCAAAGAGATACTGGCCAGACTTTCATCAGGAAAAGCTGTACCACCTATCTGGTGAGACAGGTAAAAGGAATGATTGTTCAATGTGTAAGGTACACCATTTTAAATTCTGATCTCCACTATATGCATGAGATAAAGACTTATATATTATAGAAGCGAAATATGATATCTATAAGATGATATGCCATCCATGAAATGCACTTGAATTAAATTATTCAAAAGAAATAAAAAAGATATCCATATCAAAGCAAGAATAATAGGAAATTTCTGTTCAAAAAAAAAAAAAAAAAAAAAAAGGAGTTTTCAGCAAAACGCCGCTATGTTCCAATCCCACAGCATTATTAGGAACACGCAAGTGCACACTATTTATTATATATGTATGTACCTAGCCATATAACCATGCCTAGTAATTGTAGCGGTAACAGAAATACTTCCCACCGATCACAGCTCCACCCAGGGTATCCAATATATCACGGACTCTAGCATCGGGTACAATGCCACCCATGCTGATGCGGGTGTCCAAGGTGAGGGCGCCACCACCAGCGACTCTACCGCTGATGGTAGTCCAGCGGGATTGGGCTTCGTTCTGCCAAACACGGAAATTTCTATCGATGAAGGCGTGGTGCATGAAGAAGATCGGGTCGCTTGGGCTGGCAGCAACGTCGGCCATGACACTGCCGATACCATTGTGACCATAACCGTGGGGACTGAGAAAATTTGTCAGTAAATTGACATTTACGTTTGTTTTATTTTAAGGTTCTTTGGGGCATTGGGTTGAAGGAGAAAACTTACCCAGTTTCGGCACAGCTGTGCATAGAAGGATAGGTAGTTCGGGAATTGCAAAACTTCACGTAATCGTTAGTGCATTGAGCGGTGTGCTGCTCGTTGACTGCCCGTGCGAGGCAGTGAGGGCGGTTTTGTGTGCCAGGGCCGATATTGCACGTAAGTCCGGCAAATGCACCGTCAGTAATGCAGACGCCTTGTCCGTTAACAGGGCGAGGAAGGGAACCGAAGTAGTCGCGGGTGAATATGGGTGACTGGGCAAATCTGCCGGCATCCTTGGTCTCATCCCACCAGGGAAAGTTTCTGTTAAAGCCGCACTCGTCACGCAGCACTTGTTCGAAAGCCCAGACGAAGTATCGGTGCCACAGTAGGAACTTATCATTGCCGTGGATATCTGATAGCTGCTGTTGATGGAGACGGGCGAAGTCTTCGTAACGGTTCTTTGCGCCCGAGAACCTGCCAGAGGCGGATCTGTTGGTCAAGCACTTGATCGCATTTACAAATGCCAGCCGGTCATCGTGCGAGAAGCTGCGCCATTCGGTGCGCATGTGTGTTCTGCCATTGCATGCAGCTGCGAAGGTTTGGAAATTGGCTGGAGCAGCAGCGGGCGCGGGTGCTGGTTTGCTTGTTGGGGCATCTAGAATTTTACCCAGAAGATCCTTTCCCTGCTTGACATCTTGGATGGACATGGTTTTGAATGAACCGAAAGATGAGAGCGGCAGATTAGGGCTCAATTTTTTCATGAAATCCATGGCCGCGCCGGACGCCACGGAGGCGCCCAAAAGAATGAGTGTCCACCGCATTGTGTATCACTAAGGGCCAAGTTATGTGTAAAAGTTGGGAATAAAACGAGTGACTGGGAAGAAATCATTCAGAGCAATCCAGAGAAGGGGGAGGGGGAAATCAGCTCTTTTTCTAATGCCACGATTATCGCCCCCTTCGGGGTGGGTTTATGCCTGTATAGTTCGGGGAGCGTGAGCTCCCAAGCGATTCGATGCATGTCTTAGGAGTAGCGCCTTTTACAGTGCTGCTAAACGGGCGTGGATTTTTTCGGGGCTCTAATGGGTGAACCCCCTGAGTCTAACTCCATCGTGGCTGGAATTGGGTTTGGTCACCAGAACTCCGAGGACCCACTAGTTACCAGTTGTGACATTTAGTAGATTTCAAGGTTCCCTCTCAGGCCAGAAGCAACTCTCACTGAAAGGGTTCAAGATCTGAATTGAAACAAGACAAAGCGAGCACAAAGCATTCAAATATTAAATAAGTGAAATCCTGATCCAATGATTCACCACATTTCCCAGAAGTGGTCCAAAAGTGTCTCTTTTTTCTGCATCATGACATTGTACAACAGCATTAGCTGCCCACTAATATTAATTCATTCTAGCGCCCTGTGAGAAAGGCTTATCGAAGGATAAGTGCAAGTTCTAGTTCAGGCCCGCAAGTACGGGCTGTAAACAAGAGCCCTCCAATAGCATACGAGGGGCGAGAGCAATGTAATTGGGCCAATAGCCCATTGATATTGGGAGAGGCGTTCAGCAACCGAGAATCCATGCCACTCATGACGGTCTTTTTGGGGCCATATCGCTGCGCTGGATCCAGCCACGGCGTGGGCATCGGCATGCCCATCCGTCGTGCTTAGCAGTGTCGACCATGACTGGTTGATGGATCGTGTTCCTCATATTACTGGGTAGCCTGACAGTATTTCTTGAAAATTTTCCAAACGTGGTTGTAAAAATATCCTGTCAGTTCACAATCCCAAAAACAGGCTTTTCCAACAGTTGAAGGATTTTAAGTAATAATTTTGATTCTTGCATGGTTTCCTAGGTAACTTTTCCCGGGGATCGAGTAATGTCAGAAGCGCTGACAATCCTCGCCTTCCAGGCGCTCAAATTGTCAAGTGTCCAGTGTCCACCGTCCTTGCTCGTCCCAAATCCAAGGGATCCTACGGCGGCGGAACAGCCTGGGAGATTGCCCGTTCCAACACCTGGATTCCGAGGGGTTTTGATTGGATCTGGTGCTAGCTTTTCGACTGCGCGTTGTGCTGTGACTCCATCTGGACAACGGCAAGGATGCTGGATACGGCCGTTCGTCTTTGCCTTTGCACTAAACCCCTCAATGACTCGTTGGAAAAGGGGGCAAGCCCACCACATCAACTCCAGCGGCCGGCGTATTTGTTTTGAGACATTTGTTGTTGAATACGAAACGCTATCATTTTTTGGCCGTCGCTTCTCGTTTTTCCATTTTGACCCATTCCTATTGTCCAAACCATCACCGTCTAGTTAATTCAAAAATAAAATACCTCAATGCAACGCATCCTTCCACCGGCTCCAAAGTGGTGGTTCTGACTGGAATGGAATCTTCGCGCCGTTTAAAACTAGGTTAGTTAGCTAGTTAGTTAACTTATTCAGGCGAGTATTACTAAGCTGGCTAAGCACCATGGAAGTTCCGTTACGTCCGCAAGGACTTCGTCCGTTGTATAGGTGCAGAGTGCTAATTTTCAGCAGCAGCCATGTTCGCTTAAACGTGAAGGTTAATACCCCAATCTCCCATGTGTTGTGGATGCATGGACTTGCGACAGAGACAAAAGATGGATTGCCATCCCCCCCCAAGCAAAACAAAAATAGATACCCTGAGTAATAAATATTTCATTCTGTTTATCTCTGTACTCTAAGTCCTTTATTGTGATTATTCTCTGATTGTTATTGGAAAATGTGTAAAGAAATGAACTTTTGGAGAAAAAGAGTGAAAACTGTCAATAAGATTTTATGAAAATATTGTAGAGGATTTCATGCAATAATGATTGTTGTCATCAATGCAGCTTCAAAAGTTCATTTGAAACTTGCATGAACTCTAAAATAATGAAAGATAAAAATAAACAACTTCAATTTCAATGTCCAGCAACTTCTATCCTCTATTACCTATATTTTCCTGAAGACTATGAAATTCACTTTAGTATATCATTTAAGATATGTCAGTGCGTTTACAATTCCCTCTTATGTAATGCAAATTTTAATAAATAGTTATAATTCATCTTTTTTAAGTTAATCACTTTATTGAAACAGTTAATATATCTACAATTAATATAATATATAGATTTTTAAGGTGTCATATGATGTGTTAAATGTACACCAAAATCATTATCTCAATTATATACAGAAGAGAGATATATGCAGTAAACCCTTGCTATAACGATTAATCTTGGAAGCCTATTCAATTCGCTATATAAAGGAATCCGCTATATGGAGGTGCTGCTGATTTTCAAGCTTCCGTGCTCCTAACCTTCTCTCATAGTAATTAAGCTGTTGAATTAGACTCTGATCTCCCTGATCCTGCTGTTCCTCATACAAGCGAACCCTTTTCACCAAATTCAAAGCCTCCGAAGCCGTAATGCGTGGAAGGGTCTCTATATTCATATACTTATCCTCATCACTTCCGTCATCAGAGACAAGCTGTGAAATAACATGCTGTTGGTAGCACTTCTGCTTCGAAGAACAGCAGGACTGTCTGCTCAAGGTGATCATAACATGAAGAAAGGATCTCGGAGGAGGAGGATAGGGTAATCTTTTGAGCTTCTCAAACCAATGTCTTAAGGCCTTGTTGCTGAGGGTTGGATTCGGCAATTTTATGAGCGCGTAGAGTTTATCTTTTGATTGACCGGAATCGCGGTGCTGCGCGATATGTTGACTCGGTATAAAGAATTTTTGTTATGACGAATGATTTCAGGAAGGAATTTTTGTACGTTATATGGAGGTTCGATATAGCGAGGGTTTCCTGTGGCGAGATATGCTGAGTGGACACTAGCAGGGGAAGAAAGTAGAGAAAATCCATCTCAACGCATGTTAACTGTAAACCGTATATGGTCCTTATTCCAATTGTGTATGCCAGCTTTTCGCTTATCATACTCTTACCACATATAATTCCCTAGTGTATAACTGTGATTTTCTCAATTTTGTTGGACGACTTGTTGGAAGTAACATCGTCATTGAAAGAATTATTAAATCTGATCTGGACCTTCTGATGTTTTTGTCCGTAGGGCTGCTCATGCACTATGCTCAATTCTGAATAGCATGCTGTCTGAGAGTGGGAATTGCAACCAGTCGGCTGGATGCCGGGGGAGATTTGAAGCAGCACCTTCAAATAATATCAACAATAATAACCTGCTCATCGTGTTGTGCATTCTCCCTCGCTTTCACCCGCGCAGCTGCTGGTCTGACCCCTGGTTCGATCCCGCTAAGCATCAAGAGACCTGGCAAGGATCATCCATCGCGTCAGAGCGCAAGTTTTGGAATCGAAGCCCTGAAATTTACGCTTCAAAACTGCATTCTCTGTGCCTTGTTTTTGAGATCTATCGTTAAGAGCAAACGCAGTCGGCAAGGGAATTGATAAATGAAATCTTACCAGTCTAATCACAACGCTCCAAAATTCAACTATTTCAGAACATTTTAGGAATGGTAACATACAGAATAATAAGTTGTGCAGCCAGAAATCTATCATATCGTATGATTCTCTCTTTCAATCTGCATTCAATGTATTTATGATAAACAGCATATTTTCAACATCTCAATAAGAGAGCATGATGCAAGAGATGAATCGAAGCATATCTCAGTTTTATCCTCTGTACAGACATCCCACATACATCAGATGAAGATCAAAAATGCTTGAAGTTGTCAAGTATCATGTAAGAGTGTTTGTATATATTATAGTCCATGCTGACGAGCGAAATTTAAGACGCACGGAGGTTGAAAAGTTTTGACTTACTAAGGCACTGAAAAGCGCTGAGGCACTGAGAAGATGGCTTAACTAAATATTTTGCTTCAGCCACCATGCGTAACTAAATTGTTTAGTTACTAAGACATAAGGCATCCTTTACCTAGAATTATGTATTTCAATTTGGATTTAGTATAATTTCGGTGAAAGTCAAAACCACCAGTGGAGGCCTCGACCTTCCATAGTTAGCTGTAAAGACATACGTCATTGGGAAGACGACCTCAGATTTGTGGTCAAGACTTTTATCCAAAGACAATAGAAATATAGCAGAAAAAAGGATAAGGGAAATACATAACTAAGGGAAACTTAAAATTTATATTATCCTTAGCTGTTATTTTAACCATTTGGCCAAATAAACAATAAAACCTTAACAGCTAAAAAAGAAAATCAGGAACGGGACTTGGTAGAGCCTTTGTCCACTGTGTCACGGATCGAGCTATCAATGGATCCATATCAAATCACCTTTTCAGACTTCCAGTAGCCAGCTGCTTATTGAATAAATCAACATTTGATCTATCAAGAAGTGCAAGAAGCATATATAAATGATCGGATGAACATATTTGCTGAACGCGATTCCACGTGTCTATTCTGGATTTGGTTTGAACACGAAAAACGTTAGCCTGGTTCTTGGAATAGATTAGATTGTTGTCAATTGGCCGAAGAATTGTTACGCTGCAGCGGCATGCAGCGGCACACAGCATCTGAAAGACAACATGCGAATGCTATGCATGTCACCAGGTGCCTAGAACAAAGGACTCTGCGCCCGGTTGTTGGGGTTGATGTCTTGGGTGAACAATTGACTAAGCAGACTATTAGCATGGATAACCAGGTTCAGATGTCAAACGCTCATTGTTCGCTGCTTCTACCGGTATATTAATGCTACTCGGAGAGCGAGATGATCAACATTTCGGAAGGGTGTATGAATGTCAGGCGCCATATCCACGGCGAACTATGGTGAGATATCGGGATATCCTGCAACCCCTGCAGAGACGGTGGCGTCATTCCGGGCGTGCATGCATTATTTGGGCCATTGTCATGATAGTTTGCATATATGCATATACATAGATGCGAATCAGCCGAAGAGAATGGAGATTTGGATCCCAGATAGTAACACAGTAGAAATAAAGGAGAGGGTGTTCGATCCCCGTCGGTAAAGTTGTATACATATTTGGGCTGTTTTCTCACAAAAGCAAGTTGTAGGTAAACCACTTCTAGGGAGCGATCCTCTGAGAACTGCGTGGGTTGGGCTGTCGCGGTAAGGGTGTCTCTTTTTGCGTTTATGAGAGATGACGTTATGCTGATAGGAGAAACTTAAGTTCGCATTCTCCGGTCCATACACCTGAAAACCCTCACCTAGCCAAACAAAAGATCACCTTTAGCCATATGTATCACGCTTAAATCTCTATCGCTTCTTAATAACATTGATGCGTCGGTCATCTCATGGTCCGGCGGTTGCCTGGACATTTTGGCTTGGGAACTAATAAAGCTCTCTACCACAAGTGGTGGAATGGAGCATGGGGCCCTTCTCAATCCGACTGGGAGAATCTCCGTGGCACTTTCACAGTGAACCAACGGCAGTGTCCTGGAGCGGCAATCACATTCATCTTTTGGGAACTGATAATGAAATATTTCATAAACGGTGGGACGGTAATTCTTGAGGAGGATGGGAAGGTTTAGGAGGTGTTTTCTCAAATCCATCTACAGCTGTTTCCTGAGCCCCAACATGGTGGACAACATCTTCCGTCTGGAGATAGACAATCACCTCTACCATAAGTGGTGGGATGTACCCCCCTTGGGCCCATCTCAAACTGGATGGGAGGCATTAGGCGGCGTGTTTAGTATTTAGCTCACTGCCGTTTCATAAGGCCCAAACCGGATTGATCTTTTCTGCTTGAAAGCTGATAATTAGATGTACCACAAGGCATGGGATGGAAACTGTTGGAGCAGAAGGGAGGAGCTTGGGAGTTTCCAACAGTCACCCAGCTGCAGCTGCTTGCGGCTGGAATCGACTCGACATTTTTGGTATCGGAACAAACAACGCACCTTTTCACAAACGGTGGGATGGAAGTCGATGTGGTCGTCACCTACTGGATGGTAAAATTTAGGGGGTATCCTCACTAGCTCACCTTTTGTTGTCTCCCGGGCGAAAAACCGAATTGATATTCTTGGCGCGGGCACGGATAACTAAATGTATCATAGATGGTGGGATGATTCAAGGTGGTATGGATGGGAAGGTCTGGGGGGAACATTCAGAAGTAGACCGTCCGCTGTATCCTGTGGTAATGGAAGATTCGATATATTTCGTATCTGGACGAATAACGGAATGTACCACAAGGGATGGTCGTTGGGGTCTTTTCCAGTGACCGCCTGGGAGAGCCACGGTGGAGTATTTAACACTCTATGATAGTGGTCTGAGAGTTTTCAGAATTTCTCTCTTTTCAATTCATTTCTGATATTGTGTCTGTAGGCCTGTCAGTGTCCACATCAACAGGCCCCTACCTAGCCCGTCTATCTTGTTCTCATCTCTTTTACTCGGCCACGTCCCAGAAGCTCGCCACAAAGCTGACATTTTCATTTTCAGGTTACATTTTCGGCCCTAATGAATTTATGGTGACACAACTCACCATTTTATCGATTTTTGGGAATTCGGCTATATTTGATGCAAATTAAACGCGAAAGAGTTCATTTTAATAAACCTAGCCTGCTGCGGTTCGATAAAGTAAAATGAAACGAATCAGCCTCTCAGCGACGTGATTGCGTAGGATGCTTGCGTCGTACTGAATTAGCTCACGTGGTTAAAGCAGGTCCCAAGATCGGGATGAATGCAAGAATCCCAGAGCCTGTGAATTGTTAAATTGTCCATGTAGTGAATATCCAGTAAAAGTTCGTCTGGTTTTGTGTAGTATCTCCTGTCGTCTTTTTAAACTACAGCGACACTGATTCAGAGCCGTGAAAGTTCGACAAAAATTTCCTGCACTGTTTACTTATCAGACTAAATATTAACTAGTAAAAGTTGAGTGAAAACTTACTAATTGAACTAAGACGCCGAGTTATTAATGGCCGGTGCCCTTGAATGGGACAATTGCTGAGGTAGAGACGGAGAGAAATGCCGTAGATACAGAGTGATTCAACCACGGACAGTTTCATACCGCCATACAGGTTACGGAGTATTGTGACTTTTTCTGCAAAGTTTTCGCGGGTATTCCAACTTATTTCACACTGGAGGGAAGAAAGCAACGAATACGCCTGAAAACCAAGATATATCATGAGCCATCAAATTAGCAGAAAAGAGTTAAATAAAATAGCCCAAAAGAAAAAGCAATGGGGAATCACAGTTATCAGCAAAAGAATGCACCTGGATCAAACTGGACAGAACGAGAAACCAAAGCCACATGATGGAATAAAATCTTTATCTTCTTTATCTTTCAAAGACTTGTACAGATTAACATTACCCAGTTTTCAAGTACTCGCATTACGCTCCACCACCAGCGGCCCCATTTGCCATAACCCAAGATGCGAACGCACTCGGATTCCTCGTTTGCATGTATACACTCCCAGGGCCGGTGAATTTACAAACCAATCCCTCACCCGAAGTCATCCCAGAGATAATGCCACCAGAAGCCACACGCTCCATGACATATTTGCAGCTCCAGGCAACCAGATGGCCGTTGTCGATGTTATATTTTTCACCATCGGCTAGCTGTGGGGTTTGGGGAAGAGGAGGAGTTAGTACGGTTTCTTGTATTGTTTCTTTCTTTTATAATATGAATACTTTGATCATTGGGGAGTGGTTAAAAAAAAAACATACGTCCTTCTTGATTATAGCACCAAAGCTTTGAAGGAACAAAAGACCGTTCCCAGAGATTTTGTACACAAACAACCCTTCACCGGAGAAGAAGGCCTTGCTCAAACCCTGGTTCTTGTAGTCTTTGATAACACCTTGGGTAGAGGACAAGTACGCATCCTTGCCAACAGACCATGTCTCATGGCCACTAAGGCGCAAGACAGAGATGTCACCAAGCATTGTGGGGGCGAGGAGAAGTTCTCCAGGGCCCGTGTAGGTCGAAGTTGACATCTCGCCGCCAGCAATGAGCTTCTTCATCGAAAACTTAACGGATCCTTTCAGAGTCATAGTGGGAGACATGGCAATCATGGCGCCTGTAGGGATGTGGTTTTTGTCAGTTTATTTTTGAGCAATTGAGTGGGAATAAGGTTCAGCGGTTATCAGAAAGAAGAGGTTATGTTCCGGAAATGTACTTTACAATACCATACCTGGCTTAGCTGTCAATGGACACCCCATCGCCAATTGAATAGTCAAGACAGTGTTCGTGTCTCGGTGGCTGATCCGGTAGCTGCCACCGTTGAATGTACCAACATCATCTGCGGAAGTCGACTGTACACCAACGAATTGCCCCTGTGGTGGTGCTCCACCAGGCGTAAGTGCGTGTTGCATTTTTTCAGGGATGGGTGACGGTTGCTGATGGGGGATTTGGGGATGTCCACCAGCGGGGGGGGGAGAGGTTTGGCCACCAGCTGGGGGAGGAGGAAAAGACGGGCTAGTTTGACCTCCTGGCGCAGGATAGCTATAGTTTTGGGGGGGTGGTGGATAACCTCCTTGATTTGGAGGGGGTGGATATGCCGCTGAAAATGTTAGTCCAATACGTCCGTAAATGAGAAGCAAAACATAAGAGATAAATATTTAAATGGGGAAAAAGTGGCCTAGTTGTCCATCTGTCCAAGACGTAAAAAACTATGAAGAGGCCGACAAGACAGATTCACATATGTACCGTACCTTGTTGCTGGTTGGGAGCTGGAACAATTAACAATCGATTTTGTTAGTTTCCTGTTTACATCAATTGCAGTCAGGATAGACAAATAGATAGGCATACGGGGATAGTATCCTCCCTGCGGAGGTTGTTGTCCTTGGGTTTGAAACGACATTCTTGCGCCTGATTGTCTGTGATTTAAAGGAAGCGGGGTAAGGAACGTGGATGCAAAGATGTAAGAAATAAGATAAAAATAAAGTGGTTTCGATATATAGAAATAAATAAAATAATGAAATAAGAAAATAAGAAAATAGTAGTTGTGGTTGTAAGTAATTGTGAAGATAATCCTTCAGGCAAAATGCAAATGAATATATTCTTTTCTTTGAATCCCGTACTTTGAAAGAGGAGACGAGGGCTTGAAAATATATTGAGGAAACAGCAGATCGACGACGACGATCAATGTTTTCTAGTCCAAAGTCCGTTTTAGGCCCCAGCGGCTAGGCGATGACTTAGTTGGGTTGTCTGGTGGCTTTTATATTTATGAACAGGGAGAAGAATTCCATCAGAGGTTGCTCAAGGCACCCAAGCGAAGAACCAAGTGGAAGTTTACCCAGCACAGCATGATACCGACTTCGAAAGTTTTGTCGTCATAAAGCAGCCGCTAGCTCATGTCTTCCATCGAGGCGGATTTGGGACGATATGAAGAAGCAAATCAAACGAGGCCTAGAACACGAGGTCTTTACTTGGCAGAATTTGTGATTGGTAAGAGGAAGATGGCGTTCACCTTCCAGTTGCATCCGCCAGTTTGAAGACTTTAAAAATAACCCAGCGCATGAGCGCTAGGAGCATGGTAAATCCAAATGCGTGTTATGGTGGTGAACCGTGCAAGCTGCTGAAGGGTCATAACAGACCGTTCAATGCCTTCTGTGGCTGTCAAACTCCAACAGGAGAAGGATGTTGGAAGAATGTGAACAATAACTTGAGAATCGGGGGCGACAAACTTTCATGTGGATAGATAGAAGCAATCGAGAAAACCGCTGTCAATATTTGGCAGGTGACATGAGTTATTCCACAGCCGCCAGCATAACCCCTATATTCGTGTTCCGCATCGTTGGCTTTGGTCGATTTCCTTTCGGTCCTGGACAAGATCTGGACAAGATGTACCTCTACTTATTGGTCGGTGATCAATTTTAGGTTTCAGCTATCTCCTTATGATCTGCTCACAGTTTGTTTGATTAACTGAATGTTTTCGAGCCGCACGCGAGGATTTTAGAAATCGACACAACATAATCCTCCATTGTAGCAGCCAACCACCTTTATTCCTGAGGTCTTCATAAGGTCTTCTAGCTAGAAAGAGCCGGATCGAACAAATCGGAAGTGCATCTTGAACGATGATTACTGCTGAACCATGTGGTCTGATTCAATTGTCACCTCGATGTTAAGATGGCTGCTTGCGGTTGCTGTGCTGTAGCGTAGCAGCGCTACCCAGGTATGACTGGGAACTCCACAGTTGAAGTCGATGATGATGAGAGGATATTCAAGGTTACCGAATCAGAAAGTCTGCCCCTACCAAGAGGTTGATTCTGGTCTGGTTTGACTTGTTTGTAGCATCTATGGAAAAGGTGTGGAAACTACTGGATTTTTAATTCTTCATGTGGCGGTTTGGAACACCAAAAACTGTGAATATATATAACAAAAACCCCAAAGGATAACACATTATATCTCACGAGCATGTATCGGTTGTGGAAAAATATTAAGTATCCATTACCTCAGGTGTTTCACTATTAAACTCCAACAAAAAAAAAAAAAAAGATTATAAATAAAAATAAAGCGCGAGCTCTACATGAGTAGTATCAAATCATAAATCCATCAGACCAAGCTTCATATTCCCACCGGATCAAGACAAATAAAAATCGGGCATGTTCTTTGTGTGGTAGTGTGATTTTCCAAGTACAAAAGATTTGATCCCATTTTCCAACAAACTGATGACTATGACCCATTGACTATGAAAATGCCATCGTCTTGCTGTGGTCACATATCATCCGCCGAAGGAAATGGTAATAGATGTGGTGAGCAAATAAAAAACAAAGAAAAGAAAAGAAAAGATAAAACACGGAAAGCAGTAGGAAAGCAGTATAATTGAAGCAAGAAAATTTAAGGAAAACGGCACAGGATGGAAGCTTCATAGTTAGTATAAAACAAGAGAAACATAAAATAGACATTGAAGAAGTAAGGGAAAGTGTTAGGGGAGAGAAGGGGACAGCAACCAAGAAAATGTCAGTCAAAACAAATGAGAGTTGTGTCCAAAATAAGAGTCTGCGGGTAGGATGTTGCTGCATTCTATGAATCTTCGTTTTCTTCGAGAATTGTGATGTATAACATCAATATTCTGGCGTATCCATGCTAGAAACGTAATCGAAGAAATCTGGGTTTGGGAAACGCACAAAGTGTCCAGTATAATCCAGGTGGGAGCGCCGTTATCCCAGGTGGAGCTGATAAATCTGCCAACCGAGTGGAGTTGCAGGAACAGTAACTTGTCGGGTTTTAAAATATAGCCTTGGCATTGAAAAGTAACCAGTTCCTCATCGAGAATTTGA